ATAATTACTTAACACATTGTATTCTGTTTCATAGCGCATCTCGCCAAATGTTTTGTATGTATATCAACAGGTCCCGAAAAAATATCAATCCAATGAAACGAAAAATATTATACATATTTAAAGCAGAAAAATTGACAATCACTAGACACTGATGATACTGCCCCAAAAAAAATATATAAAGGTAGCCTAAAACGCAGCATTCATCAAAGCATTTAATTTGATTCCTGGCTCATAAAATCAGAATGTAAATAATTGAGTTACAGCTTTTTTTTGATATAGAGTTGTTTAAAAATGTTTAATCCGTGTATTGTCCATTCAGATTTTCCACATACCTCATAATATAAAGGTAGACATTATTTTTAACTTCCTCTGATTTCAGTCTTACGGTGACTTTACTATCCATAAATCAATGAATATTTTTTTGGACAGCAAACATTATAGATGCCATAAAAGTATTAGTGATAAAGGATAAATATTTGAGCTGAAAACCTACATGGTCCCTAAGTCAGTCAAAATAATTAAATCTATGGGGATCGGTATAAAAAGAGCATGTTATCAAGTTCGGGTTCTCAGGTTTGTTATCTTAATGAAAATACTGTAGAACTACAGAAAAATGAAAATAAGAAGGAAAAAGTTTCACTGTATTGCATATAAAGGCTGGTCCATTTAACTTGAGACAAGCGATTATCTCGAAAACGGTTCATTTTACATAAAAATGACCTTATTTTCAAGGTTATATGAAGGTCACGACCAATTTTTTAAATGGCATCCTATATTTTATTGTAAAATCTGAATCTGTGGATAAAAGTAAAGTAATTAAAAAAAAAATAAAAAAATTTTACTGTGTACATCTTTTGTAAAAAATTGAAACTTCTTCAGAAACAATTCAGACACTAGCGTTTATAATAACAAATAAGATTTATGAATTTTTAAACATTTTCCTGTTCGCTTCGATACATTGTCTTTAGTTCTTAATTCTTAGAATACTATTTAAGAATGCTCAACAAAAAAAATCCAGAGGAGGTAGATCGGGTGACCTGGCTCGTCAGAAATACCTTTGGAAAGAGGTCTAAAAGGTTCCGACATTTCTCCGCCTTTGTCAATTTGATAATAGAATAACGCCTAAAAAACGAGAGTTCGTGGAACTCCTTATGCCGGTATTTTCAGACTATCGCTTTCAGAGACTTAATTGATTGAATTGTTTTAAAATGTAACAGGTAAAACTAAATTTTCATAAAAACTGCTTGGAAAAAAATTCTGAATTCATTCCATCGTTTAACATTAAAGCAAACTGTTTAAACTAAGTCATTAAATCATGGATACTCTAAGTGTGGCAGAAAAAGTCGAAATGATTTTTATTTATGGAGAAAGTGGCAGAAAAGTTGCTGATAGTATACCTTTGTATCGAGAAAGTTTTCCTCATCGAAATACGCTTTGGAGAAGTACCTTTTACAGAATTGTGAATGATTTCACTAACATTGGAAATGTGGAATCAAGAAAAAGAACTCGGCGAGCAGCTGTAACTACGGAAGAAAAGGAAATTGTGGTATTAGCTAGCGTTGAGGTAAATCCTCAAGTTTGCACTCGATGACTTGCAATTGACGCCGGAATATCGAAGACCAGCATTTTAAGAATATTAAAGCCCAACAAGTATCACCCATACCACCATACATTGCATCAACAGCTTTATGGAGGTGATTTTGAAAATCGATTAATATTTTGTCAATGGACACAAGAACGAATGGGGTTGGACGTCAATTTCTTTGGTAGCGTGCTATTCTCCGATTAGTCTACTTTTACAAACGAAGGACAAGTCAATAGACATAACATGCACTATTGGAGCGTTGAAAATCCGAGATGGTTGCGTGCAGTAGAACATCAACGACCTTGGTCGGTTAATGTTTGGTGTGGCATAACTGGTGAAAATTGGTACTTTATTGATGGTATGCTGAATGGTGAGAAGTACCGAAATTTTTTAGATGACGTCTTACCAACGTTACTTGTAGATTTGAGCAGGGAAGAAAGACAAAGTGATGGGTGTCCAGCACATTTTTTACATATTGCACGTGAAGCTTTAGATCGGGATTATGCTGGGCGATGGATTGGAAGGGGAGGTCTAATTTCCTGGTCTGCCAGATCACCTGATTTAACACCTCTTGATTTTTTTTGTGGGGCGTCCTTGACGATAATGTTTATCGCGAAGTGCCGACTACGCCAGAAAACATGAAAGAGCAGGTAAGAAATGTATGCAGAAATAGTAGCCAAGAAAACCTTTTAAGATGTAAAGAACGTTTTAGTAGAAGGGTTAATAAATGTATTGAAGTGGGTGGGGAAATATTGGAACATTTATTATAAATTTTATACGTGTTGTTGATTAATAGTATAGTTTAATGTTTTTTTTTATAAATAAACAATAGTTAAAACTATTTGAATAAAAAAATTATTTAGATTTTGTCTACAAAAGATGTTTCGCCGCCGTACTGGCAAAGCCACACGGTAATTTTTTTTTTTTTTACTTTTACCTATAGATTCAGAGTTTGCAATGAAAAACATAGGGTGTCATTTAAAAAATTGGTCGTGACCTTCATATAACCTTGAAAATAAGGTTAAGGTCAAAAAATGTTGTGGTTTGTTGTGTTTAGGTTAAGGTTGTCGCACAGAACAACTTTCATTTGGTTCATTTTTATGTAAAATGAACCGTTTTCGAGATAATCGCTTATCTCACGTTAAATGGACCACCTGTATATTGGTTGTAAGAACGCATTTTTAGGAAACTGCAATATTTTGCTTAATATAAATGTTGAACACCGTGATAATCATAATACAATGAACAGTCACTTCCTTACAAATTAGGTTGAAATGCAGCTAATTCCCGCCTTAGCAAAAATTGAAAAAGAAATTTATAATTATAATGAATAAGTGGTTGGAAAACTATTGGTCTCAAATATTGATAAAGTTTATATATATATATAATTGATGAATAATAATAATGTTCTGTTCTACATCCTATACAGAGAATTAATCGATCCTAATAGGTTAAAGGATCATCATAAGTGATTTCGGATTTACTTCTTTAATCTTCGAAAATATATAAATATTCATAAACGTATATAAATTAAAAGAACTGTTGAAGTGTTACTGAGGTGTTACTAAGTTAGCAAGTATAAAGATCCCAACAGAACTGTGTAGGTACTGTTTTTTGTTACTCCATATCTACTTCAAGTTTCTTTTTCTTCAGAGACTTAATTGATTCTTCAACCGGTTTGATTTCTAACACTTCTTTTTCTTGCAACTTAGCATCTACATCATCTTTTATAACTTCACTTTCAGGTTTTAACTCTGAAATAACTCACTCAGTAATAATTTTTACTTCATCTTCTATTTTAACATCAACAATCTCTTCAGTACTAGAAACTTTATGAGCTTCTTTCTGTTTACTTTTATCTCTTTTTGACTTCGATTTCTTAGTTTTAGGAGACTCAATCGATTCCTCAACAGATTGAATTTCCAACACTTCTTTTTATTGTAATTTAGCATCAATACATTCTACATCTTTGGCCAGTTCAACTTCAGGTTTTAATTCTGAATATAATTATTCTGCGCCTTTGGTAACTCGCGATAAGATGGCAGATTTTAAATCAAGGTCATAAAACGAAGTACCGCCAACATCAAACGAATCGACGTCAGTGTCATTTCTGGTTATTCTGTGCTGTTACTAAGTTAGCAAGTATAAAGATGTCGAACAGAACGGTGTAGGTACTGTTTTTCACTACTTCACATCTACTTCATGATTACCACCATTACCATATAATGTGCTCTGTATACTCTCCCACCAGTACGGGTTTGTCTGTGGGCACAAATCAGTCATACTCATACAATTAGTTGCAGATGTGTTTTCTATAAGAAATTAAATAGATGCCGTATATCTGGACTACTCAAAAAGTTAAGTAATTTTGGTTCCAATATCAGTCTGTAGTTGTCAATGAATACTTATTTGCTAGTTTGACAAATCTGCTATTGAGAGTTCATCCCCAATGGACTTGGACCAACTTCAAAAACTCCTTAAATGTGTAACATCGTATAATTGTTATTTCTAGCCTTTATCATTACATAACTAACACCTTGGATTGTGAAAAGATATTATTTGGCGATAATTTGAAGATTTTTTCTCATATTTGTGATTTCAGTGACTGTGAACGTCTGCAGGATAACTTAACCTGGTACATATTAACACTGACGCCTCAGCAACTGTTTGTTAATTGAAATATATATGCCTGTTTTGGTGCAAGAGTTCTGTAGTTCCGAACAGTTCTGAGCCTTTCTGCGCATACATTTAATATGAAATATGTATTCGCAGAATGATTCAGAACTGTTCGGAACTACAGAACTATTGAGACAAGATAGGCTTTATGTTGCTTGTTTGGCCAATCAACAAATTGTGACCTTGGCACGATGATTCATCGCAGCCTGATTATTAACTTTTTTTAGTAGCCCGCGCTCTTATCGCAGCATTTATAACTACCCTAGTAATACAAATATAATAAGGAAGTTTCCAACTTCACAAAAATTTCGTCCTTGTAATTTTTGTATTAATTTAAGTATTGTTTACCATTATTATTACTTTATTTGAACAATTTAAACTAATTGGGTTCATTGCTTATTAAAGCAGATTTTAGATTTATGTTCACTTGAAACTACACAACTTAAATAAAAATTACTTTTAAAGGAACTGAAGTGTCAATCTTATCATAGTTGCGGTAATTTTTGTATTTCAATAAGTAAAAAGATTGTCATATAGCATTTATAATTAATGACAGTAGATGTTAAAAAGCTTCATTGAAGTCGCTAAAAACTTTTTATTAATCAATACAATAAAAGTGGAAAAAACGAGATTAAGAAAAGAATTATAATTTATTAATTAATTAGTGATGTGCAAAATTATTTTTTGACAAATAAACCAATATCAACTATAATAATTAAAAATAAATTACAGAAAAAAACATTATTAAAAAATTTTTGTAAATGCAATAAAAGTACAATTATTTAAAAAGATTAAGTAAAAACCTACCAATGAAATTAGCTGCCAAAATTACAAAATAACACAGTTTAAAACGTTAAAAGGTCGCATAGAAAAAATACAATGTATAAAATATATTTACAGGATTTACATAGTCATTTTAAAATTTCGTTTTAATTCCATTAAAATTCTAAGGCACTTTTTCTCTACGTTAATTAATTTTATCTTGCGACAAAAATTGGAATGGCATCAAAGTATTACGTAAATGCAATTAATTTCCATGAATACTTATTTTAACAATCAACTTTAAAAACCCACTAAAACATCTTTTTTAATATTTTTTTAACGAATACTTGAGCAGAATAAATCTATAAAAATACTGCATAACTAACTCTTATCAACTTATTTTTATCTTTTGTTTATTTGGCAAAAATTTATTTTTCTGGAGACGTTTCAATACTGTTCTCATTAATTTGTTGTTTTTTCTTCGATTTACTTTGCGTCGCAGATCCAATAACTTCCATCCATCGATTATAAGTGTATTCAGACTCGGCGCGGAAGAAATAAATATGATTTTTGTACTGCAATTTAAATACAAAATCTTTTCCAATAGCGTCCTCAGCTGTTGGAGCGCTAACGTTATAACCTAACAATGGTAAGGAAGCCAATGGAGAATCATCTGTACTACATTTGTAGAAGAAAAGACAAAATGATGTGAAGACCACCCAAAGTTTTTGCCAACCATTACTGCTTTTAAACTTACGTAATAAATACCCTGATAATTGATTCTAAAAAAATATTAAAAAACAATATACCAATTTTAGTTAATAAAAAATATTTACTTCTACAGCAAGTAGTTGATCTTTCATTGAAATACTTGTATTTCTATGCCAACAAACATGGACAGTTGTATTACTTCTTTGTGCTGTTGGTTTCGTTTGAGTTGCCACATCTGTACCACATTGATCAACAATTTCATCTGACGAACCTTAAAAAAATTACCAATAAAAATAAACACAAAAACTAAACAATCAAGACTTACTACAACTCTTTAAGCTTAAATAAGTAATTTTGGTATCTGTTTTATCTCTAGCTTGTTGTATAGCGGCTTGCAAATCTTTCTTCCATTTTTCTTTTTCTTCAGCGGAATTTGCTGCAACCGTCATTTGACGATTACCACCTAGAAAAGAAGTAAAAATCAATAAAAAAAGTTAAAAATAAATTATTAACTCACAATCCTTTGTAAGACCTACTTTAAATACTTAATTTTTATTTAATATTTTTAATGTTGTTTTAACTTACCATAAATAATAAGTCCATAATTAGAAAGTTCACCTTCTGGTTCTTCAATCATGACCCCTCTTAAAGGCATATGACCGTGAACTTTAAATTGAAGAGTAGCTTGGGATCGAGAAGTATAAAGAAGAATATCCGAAAACTGTTTATTGAGAAAAATAATTATTTTTTGATGTATTTTGAACGACATTTTAATTACCAAAAAGAACATTCTCTGTTGATATCCCTTTTTCGAATGTTTCAATAAACACCCATGCCTCAAAAACTTCCTACCAGGTTGATATAAATTATCAAACCCAATTATATCCCGTTGCAATTCGCACAATGTCGCTAAATTTTCAGAATGTTCCAACGTTTCCATAACCGGTTGAATTAAATCTTTCAGTGTATCACTTGTTGTGAGCGAATCAGCTCGATCTGGATGATTTGGACCATAATGTTTAAGTAATCCTAATGAATATAGAATCAAAATATTGTAAATATTGTAATGTTATAATATAAAAATATACATACGTTGAAGTAAAGCGTGATATTGAAGTAATCGATGTAAAGGCTTTAATACAAATGTTGTCAATGGAAGATAACAAACTTTTTGAGTTTCAAAGTCGCGGTAAAGTTGTTCGAATCGATTATTTTGGCGGAAGGAAGCGTCCAGTTTTTCTAATACCAAAACATGGCCATCTAAATACTCTTCGTAGATCTATTTAATTAAAAACATTCTGTAGTGATTTGAATAGAAATACTTAAAATAATTACATATCAAGACTGTCAACTTTCAAATAATTACTTCCTTTGATCAAATCCTGACACAAGTTTAATTTAAAGAATCTCCAGCATAAGGAAAAAAATTGTGCGACAATTGTTTATCATGAATTATATTATTAATGAAGTAGGAAATGAAAAATAAAGCAATGAAGGGGACACAAAGTGGGCATGATTAAAATGGGACAACAAGGAAAAAGAAAAGAGTGACCGATAGAATTTAAAATTGATACAGAAACAGGTCGATGTATTGCAAGGACAAGAGTTCACTAAACGGATAATACCAGAAATTAAAAAAAAAAAAACGGTACGTAGTACGTAGTACTAGTGTAGTAAGAGCTAATGCTGGGAAAATGTATTAACATTATTATTATTTTATTATCTCCATATGATTTAAAGTAATTGTTAAAAAGAATTGTAATAAAATAAATAAAACATAAACAATGCTAGGGTTGGTTAGAGAGATGTAGTAAAGCTAGTTTGTGTAACACAATAGATAGATCCTATGTGGCTTAAAAGATTAGGTACAATTAAGATGAAACATGTATCCAAAATTAATGCGGATGTTCCATAAGTAGCTTTAAGAATAAGTAAATCTTTGAAGAACAAGCTAGATGAGCTGTGTGGAAGAGGAATTATACACTAAATTTAAAAAAGGGACATTTCCAAAAAGTTGTTGAAATATCTGATCATACAATTGGACTATGCGTAAATCATGCATAGCTACGTCATTTTATAAGATACATCATAAATTATGTTCCACATTCATGTATTTTTTTTCAAGTATTAACATTTTAAAATGATTAACGTTTTTAAAATTGAAGAGCAAGGCGAAAAGTTCCAAGACAATCCAAGGTCACAAAAATTGACATAAAGCAAATTATAAAAACAGTAACAATGAGGAGCTCATTCCAATAGTAAAAATATTTTTAAAAAATTAAGATGTTAACAGTGCACTAATAGTGTATAGACCAGCAAAATTCAAGACATTTTGAATTATCTGAAAAAATGCAAATACTCACCGGAATAAACAAAGCGACATTTATCAGCAAATTAATTTATATTCAGCATTATTATGGACAAAGTAGTCGAAAAACTAACTAAAGTAGCAGTTTATAAAATGGGTAATATTTATTTCAATTTTGCTATACAGACGACGCGGTACTCATTCCTGAATCTGAACACAAGTTTATTATTATTTTACAACAATGCAATTTAAATTGCATCTTTCGGCACTTCCGTTGAATAACTATAAACCAGGGTATAATATTTTGGTTTGATTTTAAAAACAGCAGTTAGCCGATAACGTAGTAACCTGCCATCGCCATGGATTTTAAGAGGGAGTTCAATACCTATTCACACCTATCCTTCCCAGTCTATAACATTATCCTTAAACTCATACTGTTACTTAATTTTCGTCGATAAAACCTTCTTTAATATGTAAAACGCGTGAATGAGGTCGCTATCTCGTGATCACTGACTCGTGATCTCGTAATCATGACGTGAATCACGTCATGATTTAAAATTACCATTTCTAGAAAGTCACACTAACGTTATTAAAAAGTAACGGTTTCGCCCAACACTATACCTTTTCAAGTTCAAATTGGCATTAATCAAATTCAAAATGACGTTAAACAAAACCAATTTGACAACTGTCATAGTCAAATTGGCATTAACTAAAATTAATCAAAATCAAAATGATATTAATCAATATCAAATTGACATTCAATAATTTAACAAGACAATCTTTGAATCGTGATTAACGTTTTGAACATATAATTTTATACTTGGTAATAAACAATATTGTTAACTCAAAAGGTGACATTCTCCATGTTTAAAATAGAGGTGATTCCTGCTATAAACCTGGTACAGTTAGTTACATTAATTTCGGGAACATTGTTTGTAATTATAGTTTCTAATGTTCGAATTCTGTACTCTGTTAGAGACAAATTTTCTCGTTCATTTCCTTCCAAAATATTTATAACTGCATTCGCCACATCTGCCTTTACACCTGCTTTCAAAATTAACCAAGCGCGTTCAATTGGGTTTAGCTGTAAGGACTTGTTCTTCAACACCACAATGACAAGGAGCATTATCAATCATTATCAATGACTAAAGCCAATGAACATTAGCTATCTTGAGCTCTCTTTAAGCATTGCCTAACAAACTCATTATCTTTTAAATGACCCCTTTCTTAATTCTTAATCCCAAGATACTGGTACATCCAATAAGATGAACATTTGCTCCACGGTTACTTGCAGCAATGAAACTACAATGACTTCCCTTTTTTGAACGACCTTGACTTTGCTAGATAAAGAAATTAAAGTTTGTTTCATCTAAATAGATTATGGGCATGTTTTCACTTTGAACCTCAAGCAAATTTCTTATGTATTGAGATGTTTTTGTTTTCACTTCGACGGTGTTGGTTCTTACCAGTTCAAAGCGTATTTAATTTAATGTAAATATGAGGCAAAGAAGGTGTTATCGAATACACTCCTTGCTTACATTAAGCTGAAACTCATTTCGTAATGTTTCTTGCAACTGCTTAAGTATGATTTTAGGATTTTCTTCAACTTTAAGTTCAATTTTTATTTTAAGTTTTCCTTCTTTTGTGTTTTCTTCTTGATTTTTTACCCATCTCAACTGTTCTTTTTGCAACACCAAGAATTTCAGCTAAATTGCACCAGACGCAATTCATATTGTAAATGACACAAATGGCGTTTTACGTTTGCTACTTCCTTTTTTTTTAATATAAATAAGGCATTTTGTACATAGTTTGTTAACAGTGAGAATTTGTAATCGATTAATATCATTTTGATAAATGCCAATTTGATTATGACAGTCGCCAAATTGGTTTTGTTTAATTTCATTTTGAGTTTGATTAGTGCCAATTTGAACTTGAAATGGTATAGATCTCCCATTGATTTGCACATATCCTCATAATATAAGAAATGCAGACAAAGTAGAGAATCAACAGAACAAATAAGTACAAAAAGAAAAAGACCAAGTTTGATAATGTGGAAGTAGAAAACAAAATAAAGGAAAAAAAGGAGTGTTGTATGTAGTGTCAGATTATATATTTTATAAATTGTAATACAGTGAAGACCGGTTATAACGAGCAGTCAAGGGACCGAAATAATTGCTCGCTATAGACGGTACCTCGTTATAACCAAGGTTGTCGTAATATGTAACATAAATTTTAATTTATAATATAATAATAATTTATAATAATTAATTGGTTTTTAATAATTTTTTTTTAATTGGTTTTTCTCTGCCCAACTAGAAAGATTTTCTTCCACAGAGATACGCGTAATTAATTGAGCTAAGGGAATTTCATCTTCCTCGCTAAAACTCTCTGCAAGATTGCCGAATGCATGACAAAAGCAATTCATTATTGTTTCTTTTTTAACATTTATCCATGCGCTGTTTAGCATTATTATGGCATCTAAAATATCGATTTTTAATTTTTCATTCAGATCCATAGCTTCTACTAACTTGAACAATAACTTTTGTCGGTAAAACGTTTTCATTGATTTAATTATGCCTTGGTCCATCGGTTGTAAGACGGAAGTTGAATTTGGCGGAAAGTACGCAAGTTCAATACATTCTAAGTTGTTAATATGAGGATGCCCAGAAAAATTGTCTACCAATAATAAAATTTTTCTTTTTTGACGTTTTAAATCACGGTCCCAATCAAAAAGAATTTTTTTAAAGATTTCACTTGTCATCCAAGCTTTGGAATTGTTAAAATAATTTACTGGCAGGTTTTGAACGTTCTTAAAACAACGAGGTGACCTTGGCTTTCCTATGATACATAACTTTGATTTTTCAGATCCGTCCATGTTAGCGCAAACGAAGACCGTCAACCGCTCCTTCGATAACTTGCCTCCTACACACTTTTCACCGTTAAATTTTAATGTCTTGTCCGGTGTAAGATTATAAAAAAGAGAAGTTTCTTCCCCATTAAAGATGTCGCAATCTTTGTATCTTCGATGAAGCGAAGGCCAAACGTTCTCTTTTCAATTATTTGTAATTTCCATATTTACAGATGCAGCTTCTCCGTGGATTTTCCCTAATCGAATGTAATATCGGTTCTTGCATCTGTCGATCGAACCTTTGCAACATATAAAATCACCGCGACTTGTAGACGGTTGATCGGAAATGGATTCACCGATTTTATTACGTTCATTTGCTTTGTTTTGTAAAATCATTGTAGAAATAGCGGCTGTTTGTCTTTTTGAAGAAAACCATTGTATGAGACCTTTATCAACATCAGCCCGTTCAGGTTTACGAATTCTTTTCATTTTCATATTTGTATGTTTTCTCTCTAAATATTTATTTCTATTTGTCCATATTGTCGACACCGTTGAACTACTTAATTTATACTCGCGACATATATTATGTACATTTTTGCATCCCTGTTCGAGTTTTTCTATTATATTTATTTTATCTTTTAATGTAAGAGGTTTTCGAAGTTGTTTTTCCATTTTTGTAACGATGTATAGATACAAGTTCACGTAAATCTAGCGATAAACTGAACTGCCGATGCTGCCTGTACATGGTGCCTAAATGGGGCGCCACGACGTCGCCAGATTTTTACGTCATTCGCTCGTTATAGACGGTACAAAACACGCAAAACTACAACCGAGCTCTCGTTATAACCGAACTCTCGTTATAACCGAGCACGCGTTATAATCGAGATTTTTTACATTGTAAGGATAGGATTTTTCACGGAACTTGGAAGCTTGCTCGTTATAGAGCATACTCGTTATAACCGGTCTTTACTGTATGTATTCTTAGTTTATTTCGGTACCCTATGAGTTGATATAGCCAACCGGGTGTACCAGATTAAGCAGGAATAAGACAACATAACTTACATCTTATGCAAGGTTTAATTTAACCTTTAAAGAAAAAATATTATTATAATTTCGAAGTCTTTCACGACTGGTTTTATTTATTACGCCACTCTTGAACTTATTTTCTGAAGGTTGTAATAAGGCATATGAAACGTCAAACACACGAAACTTAGTTTTACTTCTAAAAAAATATTTTTGGCATAAATAACCTGGAGATTGCAAACCTCGTCCTCTGTTATAATTCGTTAAGAATAAAGATGACAGTCTTGATATACTAATTAAACTTACCGGAATTAAAGGTGGAAGATGTGTTAATAAAACATCAGCTATACAACAAGAAGAAGCTTTAGGACCACCACGTCCATCCCAATTAAGTAAACGTTGTTCTAAATCACCAAGTAATAATCCATGAGCTTGAGCAAGAGGTGATATTAAACTGAGTAAAATATTGCATTCTTCAATTTCTTCTTTGCTTACTTCTTCTTTAAACCACTAAACACCAAAAGTTAACCGGATTAATTAAATTTGTTAATTAATAAAAATCAATAAAACTTACGATATCAATAACTTCCAAATCTTTCTTATACGTAATTTCGGTCATTAAAATTTCTTTCGCAATATAATAAGTTTTATCAACTAAGATTTTCGGTTTTCGTTTTCCTTCACCTTCAATATCGGCAATAATCGTCGTTGTGTTCGGTGATAAATTCGCGTTAATACTATTCAAGTATTCTTCGTTAACTTGATTTTTAATCGGACTAAGATTTTGATCGGTTGTAAAGCTTCCGTGCGTAGAATTCATTGTGTCGTTTATTTTCCCGTTAATCACTTTCGGCGTGGAAGTTGTATAAAAAGAATTGTTGTTTTCCGATATAACGGTATTATTCATCGTTGAATTCGATTTGGATTTCTTCTCATCTGAAAAATGGATTATAAGATTTTTGTAATGATTTTTTTTTATAAATTAAGATAAGAGAAATGCATTCGATTACAAAATTAATAAAATAAATACATAATAGGAATAATAAAATACAACGAATAATAAGGAAATTACAGATAACGTTGCGTGCAAACTGAATCGAAATTTGGGAGCTCTAAAGGTTTCATTCCGAACACGACATAATTAAAGGGTAACGTTGAAAAAGCTCACCTTTAGCATCCGTAATAATTTTTTTATATTAATATAAGTTTAGGATTTATTTTTTTTTTAATTATTGGATATATTACCGGCAGAATGTAGAGTATAAGTATTACAAAATTTTTATGTCAAATCATGTCATTTTGGACAGTACAGTAATACCTTGATAAAACCTACGTTTCTAGGTCTAGTGTTAGTTCTAGTTTTATATCGAGGTTTTACTGTAATTGGAATATGATTATTAATTAAAATAATGAAGTAAATAGAGGTTACGTTTTTTGCTACAAAAATAATGTCTAAGATGTTCCTAAACATTTAAACCTCAGACAAAAAGACTCAGTCCAACCTCATAATCAATTTGAAATAATGATTAATTTTATAAACTATCATAAATCTGCATTCTACCAGTAACCAAATCGAATAAGTCTCGGTAACTAATACAATAAGGCAAAAATTTTCCAGTTTATTTCCAACAAAATTGATTGTTACATTTACACTTACGCTTTCTCGTTCGGAAAGTATACTATGAAGAAGAAAAACCTGGGGAAAATATAAAATATCCATTTTTCTTTTTGATTCCAACTATCGAGACAACGAAAATCAATTTATATCGATAGGCCTTACTGCGTTCGTTGAATAATAAAAATTCAACCTTAAAATTTTGAAGCCACAATTGAAATAATCGATAATAATCTATATTATATAGGCCCTTTAAAAAAAATATAGAATAAATAAATAAGCGAAAAATGTTCTAAAACAAGCAACAAACTTGTCCTAAATGACAAATACACATAAAATATTTTCCATAAAAATAGAGAATTCGCAACTACGAATTTACAGAAATTGTACTTGAGTTGTCTCGCTTTCATTCATTAATTTAAATATTTATTGTAGATTATCCTGTGATCGTCCCTTAGTATTTGGCACATACGAAAAATCAGATCTTAACTTTTAATATCTTACACGCAACGTGAGAACAAGTCGATGAGCATTTTCGCTTATTATGTATATTAAAATGTAGTTTTTTTTAATGTTATATAGAAATGACACGAAACTATATTTCTAATAATGGAAATAAATCAATGTTTTAGTTTTTGTTTAGGAGGTACGCTAGAATTACGAAATAACAAGTATACTATTTTTTTCTTCAATAGTTCTATGAATATAATGAAAACGCCACAAATAAATTTTTGGAGATAATGTAATGAATTTCGCTATACTTTTAATCTAAGTATGAATTTCTTGGTATTTTTTGTGAAATGAACTGATGTTTACAAAATATACAATGTAAAGAAATATAAAAACACAATAACTGAAATAGTAAAAGACCTGATCTAAAATACCCAATATAAGGCACTTTATAATTGATGTCCTTACCTTCATTACTTCTTCGCTACATTTTTTAATAAATTTAAAAGTTATGAAGTAATTTAGAAAATGCCAAGAAATTTCTTTCTTCTTCCAAATTAAAATTCTCATCATCCCCAAAAGTTTATCGTCGCTTCGCCACTTATCAACTAGAATCTAGGTAAAAGGTTTCAATACAAATACGCACGATATTTAATAATACCACTGTACTTAGTTTGATTTTTAGTTTTTTTTTTTTAGTTCGTTGCGTCTTTAATAAACACGCCAATTATTTTGTAGTTAAACAACGAGAATCGCGGATTACAATTTATTTACAGGATTTTTTTTATTTGTTCAGTCTTCGTTTGGCTTGAGTAGTAGTATTAGTTTCCGTCAATTTTTTTTGCGGATTCCGGAGTCACGCGATTGTCGATGCAAATTTTATTTAATCGTTAACAACATAGTGATAAGGAAACTTAGAAAACTCATGACGTATGATGGAACATCGAATTAAACTTTGTGCGTTTAAGCCTAGAATTGGACTGATCAAAAATTGTGGCAGTTTGTAGCAGAAATAAACAACGAAAACTTTATTTTTTCAGTGTTCATTGCTAAATTAACGATCAATGATTATTTAACACCGAAATAATTCATCTTCAATCACGTGACAACCAAAAAGCCGATTTTTGAAGACAATCAAGATATAGCTAGTGCATAACAATTAATAGTAATGAAAACTTCATGTATTTACATAATAAATAACGGGGATCGACGACAGCTGATAGCAAGTAACAATCGCAAAACATTTTATTTTAAAATGTGATTTTAATTGAGTATGTATTAATAAGTTTACAACTGAGGTGCATGTTTTTTTTTTATTTTAGTGTGTAGAAATGTTCTAAAAGTAATCTGCCACAAAAATCTCATACAGATCTTTAATCTAAATAGCTAAATATTTGTACTTTAGCGTTTTTCTGTCTCAACACTACAACGTTTACAATTTTTCATAACAGTGGTTTATGGTATAGTCCGTGAAATGAAGTTGTACAAACATAATTTCTATGTTAACAGATCCACACTGTCGCAGTGAATTCTGTATTATGTAGTTTTAACTCGCTCTGGTCAAACAGTAGGGACAATATTTGATGCAGAGGAAATAGATCGAGTGTTTGCTTGTAACGATCTGGCAATGTCATTCGTTTGGTTTCTCTCTGGATAAGCCATCACGTTTATTTTATACACATTTGTTTGTCCTAGATATACAGGATGCCCCGTATCTTCCGCATCAGAGCATTATACGGTTGTAGGATACATTATTCTGAAGCTTTGTAATACAATTTTTCCGTAATTTTTATAAGAACCGCACAGGAACTGTTTAAAATTTGTCCAATACCGATTTAATAAAAGCTGTGTGTACTCACCAATAGATTCGACACGGAAAGAGAAATCAACTTTTTCCGCTATTGAGGTGATTTTGATTGGAGGATTTTAGACAGTTCCCGTGCGCTTATTATAAACATTTCATCAACATGAAAAAATTGATTAGAAAGATCGCTTCAGAATAATGTATCCTACAACCGTATAATGCTCTGATGCGGAAGATACGGGACACGCTGTATACAACACCCCTTAACCTCCTGCATCTTCGTAGTGTAATGTTAACAAACTCTGGCGTGTTTATGTTGGCCAAATAACTTCAATCTAAAATGACAACTATACTTTTAGTGAATCTATTTGTCAATTAATTTTAATATAGCCCTTCAACGATTAAAGACATACATTAGAACGCTACAGCTTGTGTTAGGCTTCATGAAGATAAACAACTTCAACATAGAAAAAGGTGTTCGTCAAGACGACACTATCTCTCCAAAATTATTTAATAATTTGCTCCTGTATATGTGGAAACAGATAGAATGGGACGACTTAGGCATAAACGTAAATGGCGAAAATTTGAGCCATCTACGAATTTACAAAGACTGACTTTCCGATAAAAAATTGACAAAACAACTGTTTACAAGTACCTGAGTCACGAAATACGTATATGCTGCGAGAATCAAACCAATGAACTAGACGAATAATGTTCAAAAGTGTATTTCCGATACGTTTGTGCAGAAAGAACTTCGAGACAATGTGTACTCCCTGTTTTGATATATGGTGAAGAGACTTTAACATTGGCGAAGAAAACAGTGAATAAAATTAGATTCGCACAAAGAGCAACGGAAAGATCAATGTTAGGGCTATCTATAAGTGACAAACTACCGGAACCTGAAATACGAGACAGAACAAAAGTCACGGGTACCATTAAAATAATGACTACTTTGAAGTGTAACTGGGCAAAGTACATTGCGAGGCTAAACGATGATCCAAGATAAGATGCATTTAGGAACAGAGGTCATGATTTAACCAGCTGGCATTACGATTTAAGTCGTATGCACACTAATTGGATGTAAATTACTCAGGATAGGGAGTTATGGAAGCAAACGAGGGAGGCCTACGTCCAGCAATGTGATGATGATGGTTGCCTTTCATAACCTTTTTTTGGTTAAAAATGTTGTAATCAGAACAAATTCAAATCAGTCATAATCAGATTAAAACGCGCCATGGCACATCCAGAGAGAAGAAAAGCGAGCGACATTGTTAGATCGTTAATTGCTTGGAGTAATTGTAGTGGGTATAGAGGCAGTTTTTGAGTATAATCGAGCAACTTAATGGTTATGAATGCCCCGGCAATAGATTTGGAGGTCAAGTGTAGAAATGATGTGTTTTGTGATATTTTCTGTTTTAATGCCATATAATGCATAACAATTAATGAAGTACAATACATCTAATCAGCACATATGCGCCTGATATATTCAAAACTAGAGAAATCTCTGGTGTCTGGAATTACAATATTCCATTGAGAAGTTAAATACACATATAAACACGATATCATAAAACAAAAACATAAGAAGCCAATTAATAATGACAATGGTAAACTTTAAATCAGCTTTAATGTCAGGAATTAGATAAGAACCAATAAGTTCTTTTTACCACACAAGGAACAGCACAAATACATATTCTGTAACACCAGGGATAACGGACCATGATCGATTATACATATTATAACAAATAGAGAAATTCTCCCCTTACAAATGCTAGACGTAAGACCTAGGCTCAACCTTAGGAACTGGTCCCAACCTTAATGCTTGCAACATAACAATGGAACAGCCCACCAAGATGAAGAAGATACTAATATATGTAGACAAATACAAGATAGTATCTAATATAAAGTACACATAAACTGTACGAGAGCAAGTTAGCACATAAACTACAAAATACTAATATAACAAACAAATATGAAGTAGAAAGCTGCTAGCAACAAATTAAAACTCGTAAACAACGAGCTGCTAGCGAAGCAACAGGACGACGTAAAATTTACATAAACGCTACAAACCATACCAAATCGTAGTTCTGTGAAGAAGTAAGAAAACTAGTAGTTTATAGTAAGTTTATGCTTTTCTTACATAAACAGGAAAATCTATCTAACTTACAAAAGCTCACCAACAGAAGAATAACGCACTATAAATATGGTGCTAGGAACAGGGTTAACTGACATTGAGAAAAGATCGCAATCAAACATTGTCAAAGTAATCCAAATGGTTAACATTCCGATATTTAAGCCCATTCCTGTTTAACCTGATAATGGACAAAATTACACAAGTGGTGTTGTCGCTGAATTTGGGTTATAGAATGAGCAAGGATAAAATGAGTATGATATGCTACGCAAACGATGTCATGGCAGAACCGGGAGATGAACTGCGAACAGATAGCTCTTTAAATTTTCTATTAATAAAGCCAACAACTGAACATTTGGACAGACGTTGTAGCAAAAGATATTGGACAAGTTAATTGTACAAAATATTGATACGTTTTCCCCCATCCCCATACTTAATTTTTCCATTACACAAATCTATCAAATTATCTGATTTTATAAATATATGTTAATCACGAGATTGAACAAATTTTGAACATTTTTCAAAAATAAGATTAAAATAAAATCCAAATTCACAATCTAGAATACAATAAAGTATAAATATGAATAAGAATATGTTTCAACGACTATGATTTTAGTAAAATTGGGTGTATTTGAGAATTATGAAATTAAGCAAGGGCTCCTTAAATCGAGACCACTTACTAATAGACCACTTTCTAATTGATTAGAAACTCATGTTTTATAGTCGATTATGTGAAATAATGTACTCACGTGTCAATAGATTTGCTTCCATTATTTAACATGTACGAATGGAATTTTGAGTTTGAATGCAAGCAGAAACGGTTTGACAGGATTGTGCGAAAAAGCCGAATATTATTATTAGAATATTTGCTGAATTTACCAAAAAGGATAACTTGTAACAAAATATTACTCTTTCATAATGTGAAAATAACTTTTTTTTTTAAATATAGTCTAAGAATAAATAAAAAGGACGATGCTAACTCTGTTCACTTTTACTTTGTATATTTTGTATCATTTATAAATCTGAACTTTCCTCTATTAACCAATTACGTTAATAGAGAAAGTTCAGATTTATAGCATCTAGATAACATAATCATTTCGAGATAACATAATGCCTTGATCAACTAAGATGTAATAATAACCATTTTACAAAAAAAAATCATTGCAATTCTCAATTTAACAGTGATTTTCCATAATTTGTTGTCTATAACTTTTTGTTGCACTCATCAGAATAAATTATACTACTAATTAAATTAAATTAGAAACGATTTTGTGGTAAATTTGAACGATAAAGTCTATTCAACACGAACACGTCGTTAAAACACAAACACCATTTGGGCAAAACGTGTCAAATATGATTAAACAAATATTGAGATAATTTCAAAGATTTAAAGAAAATCAAGGGAACAAGACTGTAAGGCCTATGGTCATAACGAGTGGTTCACTACATATTTTGCAAAGTTTTTTCCTGTCATGAAAACAACGGCTTCTCCTCCTAACACATAAAATATATTTTAAAGAGTTTAGTGTAGATAACATTAAATCACGCTTCTAATCAGCAAATTTGTTTTGCGAACAAACTTACTGCTTTCATTTAACAACGAATAAGTTTATGACAGATTGACTTGTAGAAAATAAGAGGTTACATGTTTTGAAAACGTAATGATTAACTCCATGGAAAATAACTTATAACTTTAAACATAACCCTTGTTGAAAATAATTTGTTTGTATTTAACTTTTTAGATGCAAATTTACTGTAAAGAATAGCAGAACCAATATTATTTTTTATTTTAGATTTGAAACAAGTATTCCGTATGAGAAAGAATTTGTTTGGCAAACCACTTTTAAAACGCTCTACATATAAAACCTGTTTTATATTTTATATATACACATTCCATAAAAATTATTAGTCTCCAAAAAATGATGATAAAAAAATCCAATACTCAAAAAATTTGTTAACTTTTTTTTTAAATGACTAAAAACAATAAATCACGCACATAAACATTGACTATAAATTCATTTCCCTTTCCGTCAATTACAAAGAAAGGGTTTTCCTTAAAATCAGATATCATTCGCTTTCTCAGCCTCAAAATCATCTTCTATAAGGGGTGGTGGAATCGAAGTAACATCAAACCCTTCGACAATTTCACATCGATCATCTTCATCGCGTTCCATGCGGAAAATATCCGATCCAGACTGGGAATCGCCATCGGGAAAATATCCCTCTTCAATGTATCCGGCTGGGGATGTTTCGGAAATATCATATTGGAAAACCATTTCCTCAACGCTCCGATTAGCTAAATATTGATTATAATCTCCTTGTTCGACATAAAAATATTCTTCTTTGGGGTGTTCCTTTTCGTTTTTGTAGCGTTTCTGGGGGGTTTGTCTTCTTCTACGGTAACCTCTACGCGTTTCCGATTTGCTTTTTGGCGATTCCATTGAGCTGGTCGAATCGTTTTCGCTTGGTGGACTTTTTCCATGTAATAAACTCTTTTTGTGTACTCTCGTTAGAGGAACGGTAGCGGTTTTACTAACGCTTGCTGTTGAAGCTAAAGGAGTTGATTCTGAACTTAAACTACTCGAATAATAAGGCGAACATTTCGATAATTTTAACGGTACCTTAACCGGTCTTTCGGTGCTTTTAGTTTTTTGTAAATACTTTTGTTTTTCCTTATCGTATTTTTGAACATGAACGGTTCTTTGTTCCATACTGCTACTTTCAGTTGATTTTTCGCTTTCCGATAAAATTTGCGAAGGAATCACCATCGGTCTTTCAGTTGATTTTGTAAACGATTTTTCTCGGGTTATTCCTCTAATAACAGCGTCTTCAGATGGAATGTTTTGGGGACTTTTTACGTCGCTAATATTACTTAATTCAACGTCGTCTACACTGGAACCTAATCGAATTTGTCGTTGCTCTTGTATTGGTGGTGGTGGATTGAAAAAAGCTTGATTAACCTGAGCGACTAAAGTCTTTGATTCAGAACTAGACCAATCAGAAATTGTTGGTATCATTTCTGTTAATGTTGAAGAATCACCAGTGGACGAAGATAATTTTTGGAATTGTAAACTTTGAGCTTTCATTGTGTTACTGTTACTACTAGACCACTCTGAAATTGATTGAGCTATATCTGTTAAAGAATTATCGTCACTTTTTAAACCAGAACTCTTCGTATTACTATTACTCGTTGATAAATTCTGAAACTTCACTGTGTTAGTGCTATTTGACCATTCGGACAAACTTAGAGCTATAGAAGTATCCTCGGAGTGTGAACTATGCGTACATTTCGTTGGTTTTAAAGCATATCGAACAGTTCCATCTTCTAAAGTAGTTCCAATAGAACTTGTGCAATCCTCATCCGAATAAGAACTATGAGAAGCTTTTCTGGAAGGTGGTTTCAAATCTGTTTTATGTCCAGAGTGAGATGAATCATCAGAAGTAGTACTTTTCCTCATTGCAGTTGGTGGTCTTAACTCTCCCGTCGTCGGACAATCTGTGAATACATCGTCGTTCAAAATCTCCTCAGAGTTTGATGAAGGACTTTCAGATTTCTTTTCTAAGACTATTTTAACTCCACTCGGTCCAGCACTCAAACTTTCCGATAAAGATTCACTTCCAATGTCGGCAGCAACGTTTTCATACGTATGAGTTTTTTCAGCGTCCATATCTAAAGTTCTGTTTGAATTATCTGAATTCGAGTCATTCTCGTAAGTGCTAACAGTACTTCCGGATTCTACAATTGTTTTATACGCTTCTTCTGGAGGATTAACATAATAAGTTTCAATGTTACCTATAACTGGTTCGGCAACACTTGAAGGAGGACTTGGCCATTGTTCGGATTCTTGACTTTTTAATGATCCTCGTAATCCAAACGTTTTTGGGATCACTATTTTCGGTGGTTGATAAACTTGAGTTGTTTGTTGTGATGTATCACTGCTTGGAAATTCGTGCAAAGCCAATAAAGGTTGTTTTGTTTGTGGAATATCCGGTAATGGCCACTCTTCACTTTCTTGGCTACTTGAACTTCGTTTCCTATCTTCAAAACATTCTTCATCGATAACCGTATCATCAGAGCCTTGTCTACGAAGTTTTAAACCACGTTCAGATGTAATTATTTCGATTTCATCAATAGATAAATCAGCCATCTCAGCCGATGTTCTTCTATCATCAGAAATTTGTCTTTGTAATAAATTATTGATATTGGGAAGGTGTCCTTCACTGATTTTATCACTAGGTTTACTGGTTTCTTTTTTAATTTTCGAATTATTCGTACTTTTTGATTTCTTGTCAGAATCAGAAACATGAGCTGCGTTACTCGGTGAATCAGAACTAATACTAACTTGTCGGTCACTTGATGCACCTGATTCTTCGTGTAAACTATCGCTTTGAGTACTTGCTTTCGTTGAATCTTCATCAACGCTAGATTTTTCGGAATTTGTACTTCTTTCTGAGATTCTAGATAACGTCCTCGACAAGAAAGTTGTTCCATAACTGTGTAGAACATCCGTAATTGCAACAGAAGTTAAACAAGGGCAATTAAAAGCTGATGGAAAACTAGGTTCGTCGTCATCTTTTGTTGGGGTGATATCATTATCTTTCTGCATGTAAGTGATATCGGCTAACGTGGTGAAATCGCTAGAATTTTCTCTACTTAAGAAGTATTCTTGACCATATAAATCTTGATCCGGAGGCATAATACCTTCTTCTAAACTTGAAGATCCCGAGCTTTCTAACGGAAATTGTTTCCACGTTGAACTAAACTCTTTATTATCACCGGATTTTTGCATCCTTACAGCAACACCCAAACTTCCTGAACTAGATTCTGTATCGAGGGAGTTTCTTGATTCCGTTGATAATTTTTCACCAAACAATTTATTATTTCTTTTAGATTCGGAGAACGAATCATCAACAGAAGAACCATTCCTTTCAGATGAAGATAACTTCTTGCATATTTTTTGTTGTAATTTCTGAGATAACTCTGAATCATTAGACCATTTCTCTTCAAATGGATACGGTTTTTTCTTGTACTTCAATGGAGTCTCATTAGATTCATCTTGTACTTCTTGGATAGGTGTTAAATCTTTAGGAATGTCATGTGCGTCACTTATAGAATCTTCGGACTCTTGTTCTTTGTCGGATGCTTCATCTATAGTGAAAGCACGACCTAAAACACATATTCTTGGACTTCTCGGGCTTCTTGGCGGTTCTAAATCAGGCGAAGTTTTATCTATTTGATCTCTCGATGCAAATTTTTCGATAGTTTGACTTAAACCAATTGCTCGTCCCATAGAACAACTAACGCTTGATTCTTCTGTTTCTTTGTGATGGCCAGGACTCAAATCTTTTTCTCCGCTTGTCCAAGAACCTGTGGTGTCGCTTGAACGAGATTGATCAGAACTTCGCTTTAATAACTCGATTTTATTACTCGATCTTATTTCAGTAGTAAGCAAATTATCATCGGTTTTAGAATCTTCAGTTTTTTGATCTTCTTTGTCGTCTTTTTCATCTTGTACATCGTAATCAAACGATTCTTCAGTTCCAACATACTCTTCACATTCCACTGTAATCCAAGAGCCAGTGTTATCTTCAGACCGACTTCTTTCGGTTGTTAATTTTACGGTTACTTCATGCAAAAATGATTCTTTTTCTCCTTTTAATTCACTCACCGATGTTAACGATTCATCACTAGTGATGTGTACTAATGTTTTTTCCTCAGTTTTTTCCTCGCTTTCTTTTTTGCTAAGTTCAGCTTGCATTCTCTTCTTTTCTAATTTTTTCATTAATAATTTCTCAACAGTTTGAGAGGCTTTTCTCAATTCCGCTGTGATTTGAGCGTCCTTTTCCGATTTGTGTGATGAATCGCCAGAGTCATCGATGTATTTAATGTCCAACGAGTTGCCTAGGCTCATCTTTTCCATACTCTGCGAATCCGACGAGCTTTTTGTATCAATTTTGGCGAGATCTGGTGGCTTAACTGTTGGACGGTGTTCAAAAAAATCAGCCGACTTTTGTAATACTGTTATGTTATCAAGTTTATCATCTTTTGCAACTTCTTCGACTGAAAGCCATACGTCCAAGCTGGTTCCTTCTAAAATAATATCTTGAGTCATCTCGGATTCGCGTAATGTGTCGTCGTTATCAGATGAATGTTCGTCTTCTTGTTTAGCTGGTTCTTCATCTTTTGGTAAATCTGGTTGAAAATCAAAATCAAATTCTGATGTCTCTTTTTCTGGGCGGTTATCAAGATCTAAACTTTTACCTAATCTTTGTACTGATCGTGATTCTTCCTCTTCATCACCGGTTAAATTTAATTCTAAGCTCTTAGTAAGTTTCTTATCGATTTTCTTGTCCAGTTTTTTAGGTGATTTTGTAATTATTATTGCTTCTTCTAAACTAACGGTATTGTTTTCTATAGTGTTGATACTTATTTCTAATTTACCACCTCTTTCTCGAACCATTTCCTCAACTTGTGGGAAAACAGGTAGTGTGTCTTTAACCGGACTTTTAATTGTTTTAGTTTGTTTAATAGCTGTTTCGTATAACATTTGTTGTTTTTCTTTGCGTTTAGCTTCAGTATCACTTTCTTCTTGAGATTTTGTCCTTTCCTTACTACTTATTCTTTTTAGCTCCAATCTTTCTAAAGACCTAGCCTTTTCTTTTGTTGGTAATTTTTTCTGCAATTCCAACTCTTGACTTTTTGTTCTTTTAATTTCTGGGAGAGTTAAAGAAGCTTGTGTAGGAAGAGATTTTTGTTTCGGCAAATTTGGATCATCCGGTTTATCTCCAGATAAAGATTTATGTAACGGTTTACCATTAGAAGTTCTTAAAGGTAACTTTGGTGGTTTTGCAACGGCAGCTTTTTGTGGTAAAGGTGGTTTTGGTTTTAATTCTTTTTCCTTGGAAATTTTTTGTGGTGAAGGTTTCGTTTTGCTTAGCGGCATTTTCTGTGTTGATTTCTTTCTATCTTTTGATACATCTGGAACAATTTGATCGTTTTCCTTCGATCTTTCCTTCTGCAATTTCATTTCCGGTTTTGATTTTTCTATATCAGATTTTTCATCACTTTCCACAGATTTTTGTATAAACTCCTTCGGTTTCGTTGGTGATTCATAATCGGTTGTATCAGATTCTTTAAGTATTAAATCACACTGATCTTCTTCCTCAACAGTATCATCTTTACTTGAAAAAGCATTTAATGGCGGTAAACGATTAACAGAAATAACAGGTGCATCCAAACTTTTGGTTCTTCTACCAGATAATAATTGAGCTTCTGAAGATTGTTGCTTTTGTAACAGCGAAAAAGCAGAGCCTTCCGATAAGTTCAATCGAGCATGTGCAAATAACAAAGGACTTTGTCCTTTTCTTCGTAAAGATGGAGAACAAATCTCTGTAATTTTTGTTTTTGGAGGAACCTTCAAATCTTTCAAATCCTTCTCTATATCAGCTTGTAACAATTGTTTCTCTTTTTCTTTAGTTTCATTAATACTTTTAAGATCTTCTTCGCCTAATAATTCTTGAACTGTAACTTGTTCCACTGTGTCATCAACAGATTTATCTCCATCATCTTCAGGGACAGTCGATAAACCTTCACTGACAACAGAAGGTTCAGCGAAAACTGGTGCCATATCGGATGTTTTAATATTTAAATCATCTTCTGAACTTGGGATAGAAAGTGATCTTTCAGATATTCTTCGTAATTCTGTTTGATAATTTGGATCTAAAGTTCTATCAAGTAATAATTCAGATTTTCTAGTTTGCGGTGGTGATCCTTCTACTTCAGTTGAAGACATCGTATACTGTAAATATTTTCTTTCTGATTCAAATTTAAGTATTGACTCCATTTCTTTGCGCATTTGCGGAGGGGAAAATTCCATTTTAGTAGGTGTTGCTTCCGCGCTACCAAAAACGTCATCAGAATCCAACGACTCATCATCTGAACTAAATGATGTAATCCTTACTTTTGTTTTGTTCGTTTTTCCGCCCTTTTTATTGGGTTGCATTCTCGGTTTAATCACACGTTTTTTCATGTCAGTTTTAAGTTTATCTTTAGGTTTAGGTTTTTCTATTTTTTCTAACGTAGCTTTAATATCATTTTTCTGCATGATTTTATCAATTTTCTTTAAAATTTCGACTTTGGGTTCAATTATCGGTTCCTGAGGTGGTTTTATTTTTTGTGATGGTTTCAAACTTTCCGTTTTGGAACTTGTGGGTGAATCGCTTTCAATTTGACTCAATTTTGAATTTAAAGCTTCTAAAATCGCCGGATCTATTTTCGTTATATCGCGTTTTGGACTAGACATATGCTGAATTGGTTTAACACTTTTATCAATTTCCAAAGTAACGGGATCCACCTTTGATAAATCAATATTTTGTGTAAACAAGAACGTTTTTTCTGGCTCAATGGGACTCTTTGGTTTCAATTTTTTTGGTTCAATTACATCAGGTACCTCTTGAATTCCTTTAGCACTTTCTTTTTTCGGCTCCTTTTTCACTTCCTTTTTCGGTTCTTCTTTTGAAGCTGTGCCATTCATAACATGTCGTTTATGTAAAACGTAAGGAATATCGACATCATTTTTAGGAGGTAAATTAATAAAATCTGATTGAGTTTTAGCACCGAGGATTTCAAATTGACTCTTCGGTACCTCAAATTTCGTTTTTTGTCCTTCAATTTCTCGTTTTAAAATATCAAAGTGTCCAAACTCGGCTGAGGGCATTTCAAATTGAGATCCGCGGTACTTCATTATTGGTGGGGCACTTGGAATTTGTTTGTATAAATAATCTTCATCGCTAGATTCTGCAGGTGTTAAATCTATAGACTTTTGATGTTTGAGTAACAATCTTCGTGAATTTGAATTAAGTCTTTGTCGAGCTAACGAATTGGGATCTGATTTTGTTCTTTCAATTGGTTGATGTAATTGAATGGATTCTCTGCCTTTACGAGGTTCGATTTCAACGAAAATATCTCTAAATGGTTTTTCGGATTTTTTCCTTCGAATATCTATATTTGGAACGACACCAAATGGAACATCAATATCACTTTCCTGCAACGATTGAATCTTGTCCTCATCAAAACTAAAAATGTTACTTTCCGATTCTGTAGATCTACTTTTTGAAGTCCAATCTCGTATTACTGGAATTTTAGTTGGAAGTCCAGGAATACTCTCTGGCCAAATATGTACGTCTTTAGAATCATTTTCTTGGGGTGTAGTTTTTTGTTTTTGCGTTCTTGGAATCGTATTTTGCTCAAAGTTTTTTATACGAATATTTTGTTCAGTTTCAACATTCTGTAAACTAATAGAATGCACATGGGATGTTTCTTTGAACGTATGTATACTATTGAAATCCAACGAATAATTTCTATTCATCTCGCTATTTTCATGCTTAGAAATAGAAATGTGTGTTCCATAATTTCGTTCAAACTGTATTTTCCTATCGTAATCGTGATGATACTTAGGTTTGCTCTCATCATGTTTCAAAGATGTCGCATCATAGTATTCGCTTCGAGAATCTAAACTAGAAGTACGAGATTCGATGTAAGCTTTCCGGAATGTGTCGGCAGCTTTTTGTTTCTTTATGTCGTAATCACTCTTCGATTCTTGACTAGAAGTGCGAGATCCAAGACTTCGTTCACGCTTCTTAAGACTTTCCTTGCTCGAACGTGACTTGGATTCATAATAATCGCTCTTTGACTCAAGACTAGAAGTACGAGAACCTAACTTGAAAGCTTTATAGAAGCTCCCATCCGATTTTCTCGGTATTATCTCCCTTGGGAAATCTCTCGGATCTTCTATCGAGAAAATATCGGCATGAACATCGGAACTACTCTTGCATTTGAGTTTCCGTTCGTTATCAGAATCGGTGTCGGAAGGTAGATAATTACCTGAATCTAAACTACAACTACGCGTGTTCAAAATTTGTTTAGCCTTTCGGTATTTATAATCTCCGGAAGTACTGTAATCATCGTCAGATCGTTCAAGTAACTCATAACTATCGTGGGACAAATCATCTTGTGAATCGCGCAAGTCGTAATTCCCAGGATCCTCAACGGATTCCTGCGAATACAACGGAGTTGTCCCAGGATAACTACTAGAGTATACTTTTTGATCAGGAACCATAATATCCTGATGAATTTCCAGGCTAGTATTTCGCGATAGAGATTCATAAAGGACGCGATGATCGTCGTAACGAGTAACGGGGGATTCAAGCTTGCGTTCTTCGACTTTCTCCGCAGGCTTCGGCGGTTTAATTCGCCGTTTGGCCTGGCCGGAGTCCTCGAAGCTGAAATCGTAAAGATCGCGACAACTTGCGCTACGCTGCCATATACGACGTTTTGAAGGCACCGGACGTCGCTCTGAGACGACCGATGCCCCTGAGGCGGCGTCGCGAGCTGCGTCCAGGTCGTTTTGCGATTGCGTCTGCGAGGGACAGCTGTTTGTTAGCGGTGGGGGCGAGTGTCGGTGATCGAGGAAACCCTCTGACTTATGGCTAGAGGGCGTCCGGACAACAGTGGTGGTGCGAGTGCGCGTGAGAGTACCTGTATCGGCCCTGTGAACTGCTGCGCGAACGGCGACAGGGGAACTGCTGATGATGGCTGGGTGGTGGATGTTGATCTCGTATGGGATATGTTGCGGGCTCGTAGTCGCAGAGGTTACTGGAGATGCCTAAAGACAAACTTTGTTATCACGGAATAAATTGATTAGTTTTATATTACCGATTGCGTCGTCAGAGGAGGTGATGGCGAGCTCATCGTCTGAGCAGGTAGCGTGATAGGCCGCGTGTCGGTTACCGAATTCCAAGACATAGCTGTGGTGCGGTGGGGATAAGCTGACTTCGTCGTCAGAGAATCCTGGTACCCCACAACTTCGCCCATCGAACCCAGCGACCCCGATAGTTTGGACACTTCCACTGCAACAAACAGACAAGAGGGTACACGAAATGAGCTTTCGCCCCGTGCGGCGGCCCTCCGAGAAATCTCGTCTGGCTAGCAACTAGCGTTCGGCATTTAGAGCTAATAGAGTACCTACCGCTGAGGTTGCTGTCAGCAAGCGGCAACAGAGGATGGGCAGAAATGCTGTTTCCGACAGTGCTGTTGTGCATGTTGACAGCACTAGAATGAGCGCTAGTGTGTCGAAACGATGCCGACCTGTACAAGAGAATGAGGATGAACGCCAAACGCAAATCGAACCGCACCGTACGGACCACGTTTACGTTTATTAAGTGGTTCGATCGGCAAACTAAGGCTAGAATGTATATTAAAGGTGCACGCCTCTCAGTACGTTATTATGGAGCACAGTAGTATCGAGCTAATTGGTGTGTTGTTATCGTCCTTTTAACATCAAGAACGGCACATTCTCATGCTCACGTTTTGGACAACATTAAATTACGACATTCATTCATAATTCGTTTCATTTAACTAATTTTGATTATGATCTTGAATTTTCTTCTAATAAAACGTATCAAAAATCCGATCCTCTTTCCCTTGGTAACATTTAAAATTCCGAACCGACAGAGCAAGTTATCGGTAACAGCAAGTTCTGACCAATCGCTACAACAACCATGCTCCAAACGTCACAGGGGTCTACATCAACACAGTTTCAACTTAGCCGAAACGATTGCGGAACGAACCGATTACAAGGTCTTAAAGCGTTTTATTCATCAGAGAGAGCATCAATTTGGTATATTACAACCATCGGACACACAATACTTAATCCTTACTAATAATAAATGATAATTACTAATAAAGCCATATGATGGTACTATGCAAAATAAAAAAAATCGCAAGGTATGTACAAACTTAACAGGCCCAAATACAAAATCAAAGAAGATCTTTGAGAAAATTTTGACGTTTAGTTATAGAAAGTTAAAATTGTATGAAATAACATGATTGGCAATGGGATAATATGAGCAACATGCTATCTTTAACTTACCTTTGGAATGCTTGCCGTTTTACGTAATTATCTCGAACAAATTCTACTATCTGCTTTTGAGTTCTACCACTGTACCTGTAAAATAAAATACATAATATACTCAGTAATAAATATTTAAAAATTGTGTTTTACCTAAAAGAACTTCCTCTTGAAAGTACCCTTGTTTTATGTCTTGATACATTCTTCACAGACGAACACCTAAAGAATCCATGATTTTCGACACATTTCTTCCAGAAATTTTTACATTCATTTCTTCCCTCAAAGAAAAACTCCACAGTATCTTTATAATACCCCTGCAAAGAAATAATAATAAAAGTACATTAAAAAAAATTTAAAATAATAACTTACGTAACCCTCAGGATGTAGTTTAATCAGAAATCGTTTCCTCTTAAAAGAAATCTTTCGTATTTTTGCCCAAGAAAACGTGTTAATCTTCGTGTATTGTTGAAAAACAACTATTCCCATATGAGCTACTGCAAGGTTCAACGGTACGTTTTCATGATCTTTGGCTGGGTGCATTTTAATTCCATACAATTCACATCTTCTAGCGGTCTCCAAAAGATTTAAATCCGCCTCCGCTGGTGATTGACCTCTAAAAAGTCCATCATAGTTAAATCGACTAATCATTCAAAATGAACTTACGCGTGTTTTTTATGATTCTCCATGATTCTTCTTTCCATATCATGATCTTGATGAGGAACAAACTTGTACGTCGATAAATAAGTGTGGTCTGGATAATCTTCTGAGACATAATCACCACACTCCGCTTGAACTATATAACTAGCCATAAGAGCTGCCGTGTTATCGTTGCATTGCATAAGTCCTTGTGCAAGGTCCCTTTTCACCTGGAGGCAGAAGAGATAGCGCGTGTATTCTTCTTCGAGCTGACCTGGATCTGGTGTGTAAAATTTTACACAAAAACATAATAAAGGGTCTACAAGAGATAAACCCAGTTGTCTTGAAATTGGCTTTTGTAGATCCAACCAATACTGTAATTATAAAAATAAAAATGTAAATAAGATTTAATAAAAAAATTAAGTTAAATTTACCCTTGTTCCTGATAGATCGTGATATTCTAATCCAAAATAATCAGCTTCGAGAAGGTGAAGCTGTTTGCAAACTTGATCAAACAGCACTCTTCCCACAGCTTTAGCCTGAAAAAAAAAATAGAATTTTCTTAAAAATTAATTCGTTCTATACGCTTATCTATTGTTCCAATTGATCTCATTAAATAATATAGTGTCCTTAATAGGAGTTGCAGATATTTCATCACCACTTAAGAAACGAGAAATCCCGGCAGCTGGTCTCTAATAAATATGACTTTATCGTCGACCAGCGCTAGTTTGCGCTCCAAAGGACATTTATCGATTTAAATTGTCAATAAAATGCAAATGCCTTAAATAGCGCACGATGGAATACCAATTACCCGCTAAGTTTAGCACCTTGAACGTCATTCGAATTCGATTAAAAAAAATAAATGGTCGTGAAAATATAAATTTTAAAGATCTTAAAATACATAAAATATCCTACGTAACTGTATCGACCAATCTGGAAATGTTCCTTGCGTTTCCGGCACCTGTATGTCCTAGATATTTGACTTGCAAACCGGACCAAAATAGAACAAAACTCTTCAAATTTATATCGCATTGTTTTCGAAAATATGTATATCTCCATTCTCAAGTGACAGCTTAACCTATTTATCTTAATACAATGCTTTCATTCGAGAGAGCATTGAATTACAATTTTCGCTAATAATACTAATTTGTTTAAACATTCACAAACAACCATACGATGCAAATTACTGAATATTAGGTCACCGAAAGCCTCTGTATAATTCCTCCAACATACCGTTGGCGTTACGGAATTTCCGATATTGCAAAACTAACTGTGCATGCACAATGCCTCATCTAATTTTCTCAAGACAGTAAACAACCGTTATAACTAAGAAGTTGATTTAACTTAAAAATTTTGAGATTATAAAACACGATTGAGATATAAAAATTAAAAATAAACCCACTCAAAGCTTTTTTTAAAATTCAAATACGAATAATCGCATAAAAAAAGTTGAGTTTGCAGAATCCCAAGAGAGCATAGCAGTGAGGCGTCAACTCAAAAATTCAATTAAATCGCCCTGAAAACGGGGTTACGCCCGGTGTTTAGCCCCTCGAGGCTGACCCGAGAGCTTTTCTGTCGACACTGTAGGGGCAGGTAATGCAGCTCAGAGTCGAAGTTGGACAAGGTTAAGTGCACTTTTGAAATTTCTAAGCGACCCAATTATTGTTAACCCAACGGGAAAGACAAACTCGCTGGTACTGTGCCAAAGCTCGAGTCGAATAAGAAGTTTTGGCATCGTTTAACGTAAAAATCAATTTGACTTTTAAATTTTATACAAAACAGAAAGTACGAAACAAAAATAAAACAAGATAAATTTAGAAAAAACGTGTTTATTAACCAAATAAATCAAACGGTGTAAATGTAAACTAACCATTTAATCGACTTCGTTTTAAAATTAATTAATACTTTCACCGGCAAAGGTCGTTTTCTGTTACTTTAATGTTGCAAAACTCTCTATGAAACAATTTCATTTATTTTCCAATCAACCATAGAAAATTACACAAAAATTCCCTTAATATTTTATTCATAATAACATAGTTATTCTAACAGCAAAATGACCTTAAGGAGTAAAAAAGCAAACACCATGATGTATTGTCACAGTCATATAAAATAGATTATGAAAGTATCGTAAAAGTACGTTTACATTTTACGACCGTAACCGAGCCGGTCTCACTGTATCCATTAAGGGAATTACGACTGCGACAAAGTCGATGGAAAGTCGACATCTACATATCAAACAGCCCCCAGTTCAATATCACTAAGGATTATCCTTCAAAATCCTTTAATAAGGACACACCTTAAGGATAACGATTCGGAAGAAACGAATTTTCTTTTTAGACTATTTTCTCTCCTCTCAATACTTCGGAGGTATTCATAGGGGTGTCAAAGCTCTCGGGATTTCCAATAACTCGGAGGGTGCTACAGGCAAACGACAACAGAAGCTATTCGAACCCGGGTTTATTTGTGTTTAGAACATGTCCCAATAGATGTTACCGTCTAAATATATGTTGGGTTAGTGGTAATAACAAATCCGTGATGGCAAAGACCTTTTTGGACGACGTCACGTTCAAGTCGTAGATCGTCACGGATACCAGCAAAAGGATGACGTAAGGACGTCGTAACTCGCCGACTGTGACATATTACGTACCGCTGCGGAAATTTAAAACGTTTATAAAGGATTCACGAAGTTAGGGGCACCATTTCTCACCACACCAGAGACTTATGGGCTACGGTAACTGAATTAGAAACGATGGAATCCGAAACACAAAATGAACCGGCGATTTGCGGCAAGAACAAATAATATTTTCTCCTCCCGTGAGAAATTCAGGACGATTGGAACTGAATTCTAAAGTTACCGGAGGGCGTTGAGCTCATCAAACTCAACGGAAACATACTGGAAAGTTTGGCGACCTAAAAGTTTTGTTAATATCAATGTTTCGACGGTTCAAGACACATACAGCTTTTGTTTTTGACTTGTAACTGTTATCAGTTTTGATAACCACAAACTTGATTCGATATCCGTCGAAATCAATTTATTCTTTAGTTAGTGATGAAATCATTCGTCAATCACTCAACCAAACTAACCGTATTACGCAATGTGCATATAACAAATATTTGCTTTTTACACAGTTTACCTGTGAAGTCGCTTGAGTAAACAAGGGATTAAGCCTAAAGTATGCCAAGTATCAACATTCTTGTTGTATTATTTATCTACATTATCGCCCTTTTTTTAAATGTCAAATGTAGGTAGTTCTTTAAGTTAACTGTAGAAAATGACGTTGAAAGTTAATGAGTAAGAACGATGTATTAACAATACAAATAAAAAATGTAGCTAATAACAAACGTAATTGATGATTTTTATAAACGGGCACTTCAAATTGAGATAAGTTAATCGGCGTCGTGATAAAAATTAGGTACAAAATTCCAATCAAATTGTGTAAAAATACGATAAAATGAAGTGTAAGCCACTCCAGTTAATTTCTCGCGGTAGAAGTGTTGAGCGGAATCACAAGCGAACTTCAAACGTTAGTTAATTCACTTTAAACTCGTCATTATGAAATGAGAGAAGTCAGAGTGAAAGGTAAGTACAACGTGAATAATACTCAATCAGTCCTAACAAATAAAACATTTGAAAGAAAAATAGAATCACTAAAAATAAATATTAGGCTTTTCTAAGTTAAATTCAGATATCGCACACTTTCAGTAATTTCCATCTATATCAGAATATGCTCGTGATTTGATAGAGTGGATTTAGAAGAACTTATCTGCCAAACACAATTGTATCAAATTTAAATCAACAATAACAGATTTTTTATTTACCCGCTGTGCCAATATATTGGCAACTAGTCCAGAATAGTTATTTGTAAATGGCAATTGAAGGTGCGTTATAAAATGATTATACATATTTCATACAAATGAAATGATGTGCGTAAATAAGTATTGACTCCATCGAAGGAATTAAGTAACTAATAAAAGAAAAGCTAAAGATCAGAAAACAGACCAATATAAATATTTTAGATGATTCAAGCTGATAATGACGAATAGAGAAATTCTGCAAATACCGTTTTGAATTACTGCAAACATTGTTCAACAAAAAAGCCTTTGGAAGTCTTCATATTGAATATACTATGTTACAGAAAATTTCGTAGGTCAACAACAGCTTCACAACAGCGTATGAATAAAAAAATAAAGAATACAACCATGTTAATACTACACAAAAACAGTTATATTGACAAACAGTTGCAAAACAAAGAATGGAAACGAGAATGTTTTCAGCATCTCTTAAACACTCTATTACAATTCTGTTTTATAAAAAGATGATAGATTGAAACCTGAGAGCTGTAGACCAACTACTTTATTTTCTTGCTTCCTTAAGACCCAATAATAAAAGAATATTATTTATGTACGCATTTTATACTACATAAACAGACTAGATAAACAAGCAGAATAATTTACTTCTTGGGCCAGGTACCGATTCTTCTATTTTTGAATTTTGTAACACTTATTTTTTATTAATATATGTAATGATTTATAACGATTACGTGTATGCTATAAGTTTGCATCTGTCAAAGGCTTTTGATATGGATTTACGTCAACTGTAAAAATTAGATCATAACATACCTAGAGATAATTTTGAGAAAGTATAGAAAACGCAATCTCTAACAAGATTAGTAATCACTGCTTAGCAATTTTAAAACAAAAAGATTCCCAAATCTTACCCACCGAATATCTCGACCAAGGTCATTTGTAGGAAGACCTCTATACATTTAGGACATACCTACAGGTTCAAGATATTTTTTACATTAAAATCGGATCAGCCTTTTGTAATTTTAATTCTGATATCATGGGATTTCTAAATCCTGTGGCATAGATTTACCCCAATCTCTTTTTTGATGACCGTTTCGACTTCTTCGGTTGGCCTTCCTCTCTTATTTGCATGCAGAAGAAAACATAGTTTAAATAGTAATAAAGGTATTTTGCTATTATTAGTCTTCTGGCGCAATAGTCACGTGTGAAGAATCGACGATTTTTGGCTTCATCTTCTGACCGTATCATGCGACTCCTTACTAACAAAAGATGATCATAAGAACTGCTTTGCTATCAATCTAAAAACACAAATATTATCCGATTAACCTTTCCAACTACGTAGATGTCTTTGTTCACAGAAAAGATTGTTAATCATCTGCCCTAAATATGTTTAAAAAGATTATTAGAAAATAACACCATGAAAAATAAGAGATACACCACATAATTAATTATAACGTGAAGATAAGTAAGACATTATTCTACAGTAGTTGACATTAAAGTGTTCGAACTAAATCTGATATATTTGAATTTAATAATTCATTCATTATTATTATAGGTATGTGCAAGGGTTTCATTATAAATAAATGTTATCTAATAAATTGGTAATAATTTTAGTTTTCTTTAATTTTCTATCTTTGTTCGGTTATTGCTGGTTCTGTCTATAATGAATAAATCCTGCATGCTGAACATATAACTCTACTATTTTAAGTTGGAGCCGGGGACTTATTTCATGAGTGGATAAAATTTTCATTCTTTGGCGCATGATGCCCATGACAGAAGTTTTCAATTATTTATCACCCCTGTAAAGATAATCGTAGAAGTGCGTCTTGGTCATAATGACCAAGTCAACGCTGTATTGCGGAAAAACAATAATCACGAGCAATTGGTCTATCAATCATTGGCAGAACAGTTCTAGATAAATTAACATATAAATCACCTCAGTGTAATTTTTATTCAAAACCTACTGACTAATTGCACGTGTTCAAAACGGATATAAAAGATTTTAATAGTTCTAGATAGACAAACACTACAAATTGGCACTTTGAGGAAAAATCGCAAAGGAAATCCGCACGAAGTGATTTAAAAAAACTTAAGACCGGTGAAAATAATGTAAAAGAGGGAATAACTGCTCTTTCCTGGAAAGATAAGCGGTACGTTCTGATGTTATCTACAAAGCACTCAGATTCACTAGTTGAAGTATGGAAGTGATACTTGCTAACAATAAATGGAAATCACAAAACAATTGCTTATGGTTTATGCAATGTTCGCCTTTCTGCAGCAGAAGTTCAAACCGTTACGCCAAGCAGAATTCGTTCTTTACGTCATGAACTGTCTGGGACCCAAGTCAGATGTGTTACGAAATGGCGAAAACAAATCATGAAAGGAGATTAGCAAGCAACTTAAAAAGGATTTGTGCATTAACTGTTTCAATAAAAGCTTTTGTACTAGGTCGGCTCGATCGATCACATAATCAAAATTATTACATACCGAACATCTGGCGTGAATATGAAAAAAATTGATTCGGCAGTCAACGTGTTAAAGAGTGCAACGTTACACATCCATTAATAGATAACAACATTCTATCCGTTTCTGACATTAAAGTTGAATTGATCTTTTTATTATATTTAATAAAGTAATAATAAGTACTATCGAACATCATTTTAGTTACAAATTTCAAGACGGTACAAATAACGAAATTTATTATACGACTATTATTATAGTGACTGACGTCTAAACTACAAGAAAATGTCTGTGACTACACTGACTTCCACATTTAAAGAAAATGGCTGAAATCGCACATGTCAAATAAAATTGTCGAAAGTGTATTGATTAACCTGTCCAAGCTCTAAAACGAAGTATGAAATGACATAAATTTTAGATATGAGGTTTGGAATCACTACATAGATTGCAGGTACTAGCATCCAAAACGACATCTGGAATTAGACTGCTCATGACGCGACAATTCAAGAAAGAGATTTCAGATTGCATGGCACTCATGCAGACGAATGAACCTCAAGACCATAAAAAAAAAATGAAATTACAATGACCAATTTCAAGGTTTTATTGGGGATCTAGACCTAATTCCTTTTTAATGCAGAAAATTGAACAGTCAACGTTGTTAATGAATTTGAATCAACCATCTAAGAAAATTTTGTTAAATTAATAAAAAATCATTGACTATGTTATTCACAGATTTTTATTGAGTCTTAATAAGTACTTTTAAATGTTTTTAATTCTTCTGCATTCTTCTAAAAAGGTGCTCTTTAATCAAACTATGCATAATTTTTACAAATACTTAATTTGTAGGATTTATATTATTTTCTTCTATGATCACGACATTTCCTACATTTATGAGGCTATCTCGAATTTTCAATTTGTATATTCGTTACAAATTAGCCACCTGAACGAACTACTTCTGACAGAGAAGTAACTTAATTTTAAAATATGACTTCACTAAGATCATTAATTAATGCAAAACATCTTTTTCTTGCCATAAATTTGTGGCATCTATATCATACACCAATATAGCAATATTCCATAATTTTTCGCCATTTTTAGTTAAATCAGTTTTGTATCCAAAAATGTCGATGAACCTCACTTTTTGTACTAGAAGTTCTTTCATTAACTGCAACCTGGAGAACACCTATTAAAGTATATAGCAGCTACTCGGCCGACATTAATTGTGGTATTAACGTAAGAGAATAATGTTTATGTTATTATTTATTATATTTTCTATATCTTGTTAAGTTTTCTAATTTTATTAAGAATGAGTTCCGTTATTTCCCTATTATAGCAAAAAGATTGAATACTAATCAAGGGAATTAATGTATTTGAGAAAGTACGCCTAAATACCTATGGCATTGGCGATCAAGCTTATTAGTGTAAGTAGTCTTATCGCATAATTCTGAATATACGTGCAATCAATAAATATTAATACTATCATTTGAGATAAACGGCATGTTAAACATCGTTTTCTATTATGTTCGCCAAACCGTACTTGAATTGCGGTATACGGTTAGCTTTAGTATTGTTTGGTTTACCAACTCGCAGGGGCTTTGTAATAGTTATAGTTACGTTCAGATCATCGACGATGTCCTGAACCAATTACAACACTAGCATCTCTTCATTACTACAATACATTAGATTATTCATTAGATTTATGCAATGAATATTTAGAATTACTTTCAATTATCTAATTATTCAATTTTAAGGATGTTTGCAGGTGCTCTGCTAGTTGGAGGTAAAAGTAGTAATTACGACCTTTTCAATTCCTTAGTCTTGAGTATTGACACATTACTTGATTCATGACGCTAATGTATGATCTGCACAAAATTGTAAAATAGTAAGACTTAGATGGGAGATATCTTGAAGGATCTAGTGTAGGTGTCACTTTCGCAATCATTTTATTAACATTTAATATACCAGAGTTCACCCATTATAATCATTCATAATTTAAGTCACGATTTCAATTAGTAATTCTAATCAAGTGATTTATTCATTTTGAACGATTTAATGTAGACGAAGTTATTTTTATGGTAGAAATGTAATGAATCATTATTTGTAAAAAAAAATTTCTGTGCTAAACGATCTAAAAAGATAATTCAACAAACGAAATAATGATAAAGAAAAACAAAGAGAAATATTTCTGGAATTTAGTAACATCCGTGATAGCAAAAACTGCGATAAAAAGTGACGATAACAAAACAGGTCATCGTGATACAATATTATTTTCAAATCAAAACTACTTTTTATGCGGTTTAAATTATAGTTGAAACACTATTTAAACCTTACGTAACATTAGAATAGTCGCAAAAATACCATAATCTTTTGCACCTTGCCCACAATGCGTTGGATATCGAATTTCAAGGTTTAAAACTGACTTTAAGATAGATGTTTATGAAGGTTGTGATTTATGAAGGTTTAGTCAAACACTTAACACCTCCAATTGTGTTGTTGACAGTTTCGTATAAAATCGATTTATAAATACTTTTTTTTAAACTCTTTTTTTGAGTCCTTTTTTTTTAGTTCTTTTTGATGCATTTTTCTTTATACTGACCTGTACTTGGAAGATAGTGATCGAATCATCGAGCATCTGAACTCTGATGGCCAGCATCTTTCCTCCCTTTTTCGGTGTTGCCGGCGGCGTTCTTACACCGCCATCAACTCCTGCCGGCGTCGAATGGGAATGATGCATACCACCACCGATGCTACCCGAACTGGACAGGTGTCCTGTGGAGCCGCTGGTGTCACGACTTATCTCCATTTTTAGTGGAGAATCTCGTTTAGTATACTATACTACGTTTGCAAAATCTGAAAAGAAATCGAAAAATATTATAAATTAAAAATTTTTTTTAATAAATTGATCTTAAAAGTCTTTTTGAAATCTCTTTTTAACTCTTTTACAGTTGAAGCACCGTTATAAAAATCGCCCACACAGCGATTTTCGGTTAACGGTACTTGAGCATCCAGCAAAGGAGCCTAAATATCGGATTCTGTGACGTTAATTGAGTTACATTTTTAAAAAGACAATTGAAAATTTAAAAACATTTATTTGAAATCCAAATAAATCAACTTAAATAATAATAATACACGCGAGATCATCAAAAGCAATCAAGATAAATGAAAATAACTTCTTAGGGGAGAAAGAGACAAAGAGTAAGGGTCAGCACATCCGGTGCTGTGACGCGATAAAAGCTTAATTGAGTTGATACGCCGACGTTAAACGACCCGTGACACCCCAACGGTAACAAAATAAGAAAAATTCAGCCTCTTTCAAAATTCTATTCAAAGGTCGCCTTTCAATCAATGAACAATTTATGTATGGATTCAAACCGACGGAAAACGCCTCCTTGTTTTTTTTTAGTCTCATGATGGCACGCGATGCATAATAAGCTAGAATAGGCCAATAGGTACACATTGCGAAAGATGTAACGTGAATTATTAATGAATAACGTCCTACCGGAGTCACACAGTCGCAGACCATATAAGATATTTATAGAGCCGTCGTCGTAAAAAGTCTTCCATTAGTTATTTTTGTAAACCTACAACGGAACAAAGATAAAGAAGGGGGGAAACCAAAAAACTGTCACCAGATGCACCAAAAATTCAGTTTTAATTTCCTTTAAAAACAAGAAAAATAATACGTCTAATAAAGGTAGTACTCAAACGAGTCGTTAACAGCAGGAAGTTCTTGAAAGAATCGAAGCAATGGAACACTCTCAGCTGCGGTTCGTGTTTCAATAACAAGGTCATATTTATAGAGTGTGGGTTTGCGTTCAGCTGGACAAAAATCGTACTTACTACGACATTCGCAAACAACTGTTACAACGAATAAACGAGGTTTAACAAAGAAAAGAACATTCTCTTTCAAATCATTTTACTTTAACAAGAGCGATTAAAACAACAACGATTAATAAAATTTTGATTTAATTTGTATTACTTTAATAACAAAGAGAGTAGGGCAAATAAACCACACGATTTTATGAAGTTCATGTGACATTGGCGTCCGTTATGGTTAAACTAGGTAATGAACATTCCATACAATGGAAAGTTTAGTGATTATAGGATAAGACACTATTAGTAATACATGAAGTTTTTTCTATTCTATTAGTTTCTAAGTAGGGAACCCTTCTCTGGGTAGTAAAATGAGTATTATGGAGAGTATGTATTTTCTAATAAATAAACAGCGAAAATTTTAAATGTATGCAAAGTGATGGTTACCGGAAATTTAACCCGTCATGTAGTACCATATGCAACGAATACTAAGTTGACATTTTTATCACGTTCCTATATCCTTAAATATCCAAAAATTGTATTATTTTAGATCGGTCTGTAGGCCATCATTTAAACAACGAATTGTTTCATATTACTCTTCTGATTTTTCAAGGAATAGCAAATAGTGTGAACAAACAATAAATATGGTATGTATGGAAATGTGAGTCTATGCATATGTAAACATGTATATTTATTTTAATTTTGGGCTTTTAACTTACACCAAACATAAAGCCCGTTTTAGCGAATAACCAGCGTGTTTCGTTTTAACCCGGGAAACACTGTATTAAGTAGGTAAGTGTAATTACTATATTTTTTTTTATATCTTTACATTTCTTTGGGATGGAATCTGTCCAATTGCAAATTGGCATACATAGACAGTATTGAAATAAGTCGAAGAAAGAAACGTAAGAGTTAATAGAAACGGTAATTAATTGTTAACTGTTACAAAATGATATCCATCAAAGAAATGAGATATTAAATGTTTTAAATAGTATTGAAAATGTGCAAGCACATTCTTAATAAATGGACACCAAAAATATAATCAGGTGTGTACACCAAATACTTGCACTGTTTGTGAACACGGAAAGTCCAATTAAAAAGTAACCTATTTATTAGCCATCACGTTATTACAATTACAAAGAAAAACTAGACATCTAGAATTTGTATTGATTATAGCAAAGTCAATAATATAATGGGGCAATATATATCTGCTCCATCAGCTGAAAAAATAAGAGACTGGTTAGATTCCAAGATATTTAGTACAAATTTAAAAAATGTTTATACACTTTTTATTGTTGGAGTGACACACACTATAAAATACAGATCACGTGCACATGTTCTAGTAAAAGTTTAACTTGTAAGTACTCTGTAAATTTAAGTTTACTAATTAATTACTACGCTTCTTCTTTTCATATTATGACATCTGTCTTGTTTCTCAATTATTCATAGTCTTTGCTATGAACTTGTGCTCCTCTACCTTTTATATCGTCGTATAAGAGGTCTTCAGAGGGATCTGTTTAGTCTTGGTAATCTATCTTTGACTATCCTTGGTAATCTCTCTTTATGGAGGTTCGTGTTGCTCCTAATATTGATACCAAGATATTTATATATTTAAACCGCATCACCTCTTCTGTAGGCTTGTTGTAAACTGCCAATTTGAAACAACGTGGCTCCCCTGCAATTGCTAGAGATTTTGTTTTTGGCATAGAGGTATGTTCATGTTTGATTTTATTACTGTTTTTTTTTCGAATTGATATTCTTCTGAATGTTTATCTTGACCCGCCAATTACAGGGTAGCAAACTATTCACAATTCTTCATTTCCAAACTGACAACTCTTTTCACATCAGTTATTATTTCGTCCATAATCAAGTTGAAGAGTGCAACGCTTACACTGTCTCCTTGTCTTATCCCGGTTTGTATAAGTACTGCGGGGCACTCTGTTCTTATACTTGTCTAATGATGCTCAGCTTGACGACAATATTTATTACATCGGGATGCACTTTCAAGGAGTCACACAACATCGGAAAGCCTTACTCAATCAAATGATTTTGTAAGGTCAACAATGAATTTGGTGTATTCAAGAGTTTTCTTGGTAAGCTGTCTTATTATAAATATAGTACACCACGATAGCCGATAGTTTTCAGAATCTTTCTTGCACCACTCTTTGAATACTGCTATTGTTATGCTTTTTCTATTCGGTTGGTATACTTTTTGTTTGTATTATTTTGCTCAACAACTCCTCTAGGTATTTCTTGAATAGTGCGTTTTCACCGTATTTTAGCGTCTCATTCAACATTTTAATTTTATGACTATCTGTTTTATTCTTGCTCTAGATATGGACCACTATTGATATGTGGTTTCGGTAAAATGCTCCCTTTCTGATTTTTTAAACTTAAACATTTCCAATACCAGCGATAAAATCTACTAATACAATCATTGTCAAGTACTGTTTGAAAGTTTCTATAAAACATCTCGATTTCCTCTTTTGGGCTAGTATCAGGACCATAAACGTTTATTATTCTGTAGCCTTAGTGTCACTTGCATTATGCTGTCATTAATATATATGTTGTAGTATTGATGTTTTCCACACCGTTCGTCTTTAGTAAGTAAGTTTAGTAAAACACTGAATATTTTAATTTTTCTCAATTTAGTAAAAGTATACACTATGAAATGTCTATAATATTGGTTAATAACACAGATCAAACTAAAAATACTGTGTGATTTTGATTCGTCCTTCAGCAGTTAATACGAACATTACCAAATAAGTTAATATGTATTGTTTCCTTTTCTGTGTGCCAATAGACTGAAAAAATTGATCTTCAGATGGCTGAATATACAACTAGTAAAAGCACAACGCCAACTGTAACACTGGAAGTTGATTTTATCCTACCTCTTTTGGACAACTCGTCCGATATGCAAATGACTTCTACAAAGTTGTTCCATTCGCCTAAAATTAGGCTTAAAATACAACTTTTCTTACAGACACATTTTCTACTGATGTGGTGCTGTCATTACTGAGAAAGATTTTATACGTACTAATCCCTTGCGAAATTATCGATTTGGGATCATGCTCTCTAAATATTAGTTATAATTATTTATCTATTCACAAAAGCTCCAGAAACGTTATCAGGTGTCGGACAGAGTTTACTACCAATACTAAATACAAATGGTGTGGCAAAATGGTAATAAAGTAGAAGATACGATGGCTTCAAAATTAACTTGTTATTGTACTTTTAATTGGTCTTTATTGAAATAACATCTTATCTAAGTAGATTCGGCTTAAAATTATCTTGAGAAACAAAGCATAAGATTTAACAAAAAGTTACAACTATAATAACAGCATAACAATTTTGATAAAAAACAACATTTATTTTATAAAATGTATGTGTAAGCTTTAATTATCATAATCATTAATTTATTTCCATTAAACAAACATGTTTTTGAATTATAATCATAAACATTTTTATTATATATCTTCCGAAACCGAAAAATTCATTCAAAAGATTTTGCTTACTTCATATTTATTTAGTACACGTACCCACAGTTTACACATATTTTCACGTTGTTGGATATCTAAAATTATTGTACAAAAGGCAACATTCACTTGAACCGGTTTATCTGGAAATTTTATCACCGTTGTAACAACCGCAACAGCAAAATGGGAAAATTATTTCGAGTAAATATTGTCGTGTTTATTTATCAGTTTGATTGCCAATGTTGTTTGTGTATAAAAAGTAAATAAGGAATAGAAGTAATGATAAATTTATTACACTTACACATTAATAGTGAACGTTGCTTAAAGCTTGTACAATAAAAAATGTTTACATTAATTCTTATAGAATAGCGTGGTTGTCGTTGATAAGTCATTGCTTCCTGACCTAGTGAAACCCCTAATTTATTTGAGCTGGTTTTGAACATATTGTACTATGTCGGGAAGCCATATATCACCAGTGGTTGTATACAATCTGCTAAAATCTTGCGGATGAGTCAAATTTTTGCTTATAATATACAAATATTTAATTATCAAGTTTTTAAT